TTTCAATGGAAGACATTAGAAAGGAATTGGATAAGGATCTAAATGTAAAAAAAAGTGCAGAGTTATAAAAAGGTGGTGGAGTGGGACTGGCTAATTTGCAGTTGCTGACGTGAACTCAATAGACCAACTGCCCTCCTCCTGCACTGCAACCATTCTATGATTGAGTTTTCTTTCATAAGAAGACCAAAACCATAATTTTGTCTGATACCATAAATATATATCCTTGCTATTGATTCCTTCTCCACCCATGGTCATTTGCTGACGCTTGATCAAACTGCACAGAGCCATGATATCCTACAAGGGTCAGAGTTTAATGTTAAACATGTGGTCCATCATGAAGACAAGCTTACTCCCAAATCCATGAAACATCTCAGCACTGTTTCATCTTGTTAAGACTATTTATCCAAATTTTATCTCCAGATTTTGTTATCTCCAGACTCAATTTCTCCAATTTCAACTTATTCACAATTTAGCTACATTTCACTTACTCCTTGCCGAGGTTCTCACTGAATCACACTGGCGATTACTACCCTATTGCATAATGATCACATTTGTACTCATCTATCAACCCACCACTGGCTTTGTTCTAGCTTACATTTATAATAACCTGCTCCAGCTTTTAATCCAATTCCTTCGTTGCAACTCTGATCTGCTCTGAGACTTTGTTTCCTCGTCCCACTATTGGTGCCAGTATTTCACTGGTGTTAGCCCGACTCAGTGTAAAGCTCTCCACCTCCCCAACTTTTCCTTGGCTCAATTCCCTCACCACCTTTTTAAAAAAATATATAAAATTAAAAAAAACCCTTCTTTTCAAAGCTAATAAATTTACTTCCATATTTTTCTCCACTTAAAAAAAACTTCTCCACTGGTACTCTTAATATATTTGTTAAATGCAACATTGCATATTTTAGCACTACATCAATTGTTAAATAAAGAATTGCATGTCACATTATAATAAATTTAAGGAGGTTTCAGTGCACTATCAGTGCATGAAGTTGCATCTTGAACATATTAGAATCCCTTGGGAGGCCAATAGCCTCTTTTACACAAGTCAATTTTGATGTATATTGCACCTTCTAGTTGTGAAGGAAATAATCAAATGACACAGAACATGTGAACAAAGACTTTGGTACAACAATGTAGCTACCAACAACAGCAACCTATGTATTGCATTTATACTGTCTCTTACTTTTTTGGAAGTGTTCTTGCACTTGGACTTTTTAAATGCCCAGCATATCACCAGTTTAGTGGTTTGCAGAAAATAGAAGCCCCTAATAGATAGCAATCAGGATCACAAAGTGAGCTTAAAATTGTTTCGGAGATAGTAGGAACTGCAGATGCTGGAGAATCTGAGATAACAAGGTGTAGAGCTGGATGAACACAGCAGGCC